AATTGTGAAGACTTTCATTTTCTTTAAGGCCAGATTCAGGAACTCCATTACTTGACATAAAAAGTAAAAAGCCAACCTAAGACTCATTTTTATTTGCAGAAATGAAATAAGGCATGAATAGAATTTTATTTATTAGCAGTGAAAGAAGGGACATATAGCATCAATCTTCCACATTCTGATTTTGCAAATGAGGAATGTGTTATTGTCCCCAAAGTGTCAAAATTGCCAAAAGAAAAGTCAACAAGCACAGGTGAAAGTATTTCTTTCTTAAGGTATTGGAAGGTTTAAAGACTTAGAGAATGGTGACAATGAAGTGCCCCTGGCAAAAGAGCAATTTTCCCTCTTCGCCAAGTCCCCTAAACAAGAGGCTGCAACTCCTGCCTACCAGTTAAAGTCTCACTGTCTCACCTCTTCATTTTTTTTTCTTTCTTTTTTTTTTTTTTTTGGGGTTTTCATTTTGGTACTGAGGATTGAACCCTGGGGTGCTCGACCACTGAGCCACATTCCCAGCTATTTTTTTTTATTAGAGACAGGGTCTCACTGAGTTGCTTAGGCCCTTGCTAAACTGCTGAGGTTGGCTTTGAAGTTACAATCCTCCTGCCTTAGCCTAAAGCCACTGGGATCACAGCCATGCACCTTGCAGCCGGCTCATGGTTCCTTTTCTCTAACATGTGCTCAGAGTTGACCTCTATGGGTCATATGATTTTCATCTTCGCTGGAACCATGTCTTCCAGGGCCTGCTGGGATTGATCGAATTAGTTTGGATCAGTAACAGCTTGGTGAACATTCAGTGAGTGATATTGTCCTCAACACTTTGATATAATATTGAGAGACTAGATGAAGTGTTAATAACTAAGCAATTAATTGTTGGTCTTTTAAAAACAAGGTTTTAAAATAGATATTTATTTAAAATCTATAAATGTCTTACCCAATATTTTCTTCTAAGTGATTTTCTAAGTACAATTTTATCTTTTTGATTGAATTTCCTCTGAACTTGTGAATATAATAATAATTGTATACAAATTTAGTTTTCACTGTTATATAAAAATCTAATTTTTAATGGAGAAAAAAATTATACATTTGTGAGAAATTTTAATATTTATTTTATCAAAACTGCCTTTCTTTCTTTCTTTTTCTTTTTTCTTTTTTTTTTTTTTTTGCTCGGTATGGTGTCACATGCCTGTAATCCCAGTGGCTTGGGAGGCTGAGGCAGGAGGATCATAAATTCAAAGCCAGCCTCAGTAATTTAGCAAGGCCCCAAGCAACTTAGTGAGACTGTATCTTAAAATAAAAAATAAAAACAGATTAAGGATGTTCTCAGTGGTTAAGCACCCCGATACAAAGAAAAAAAAAAAAAAAAAAGAAAGAAAGACTGCCTTTTTTTTAATATATGAAAAAATTCTGAGTGTCATGGAGGAGAAATACAACAAGGGATCTCAGTTCTGTTGCCTACTAATGTTTGTGTGATATTAAGCAAGTTCATCTTTATTTACTTGGTTTCTTCATCTATAATATTATAATAATATCTATGTTTTAGGGTGATATGCTATTGAATTCAGTATGCAGGTAAGCATTTACTGTAGTGTCTTGCACTTAGCAAATTCTTAATAAATATTAGTTGTTCTTGTTATGGTTGTATTCTGCTTAATCTGATTAGTTATGGAGTCTTCAATTGACTCTCTACCATCTTGTGCTTATTCTTATTTTCTAACCCTTGTAGGTGTGCCTTGCTTTTGAAGGCCCAGATTCTATCTCATGGAATCTTTTTGAATTTGCCCCCACTGATTACTATTCAGGATATTGTGTATAGATGAGCTCATTAGATGAATCTACTGTCTTGATTCAGATACTCATTCCTGATCCCATCATCCATGAATTTCTAGTGTAAGAAGCATCTGCCACAGACATGCAGGGACATTCTGGGACTCATTAAGTTGCTGGTCATAAGGAATAGCAGCCATTGAACTGCTTAGTCATGTCTGCTTGCAATTGATAAACAGCTGTAAGAGGCATGAGCCATAGGCATACTTAGCAATGACTGGTTACAACTGATAGGAAGCACAGCTCCATGGACATGTGCAGAGAACATGCCTAGTTGCAATTACATCACCTCACTGGACATAACCAGTGGACATTGACTTTCACTGGGTTTAATCAATCACCAATATATACCACCTTGCTCCAAGGACATGGGTGAGACTGTCCATCTTGCTGTCCATCCCTGGACTGACTCCATCAATCACTGACATCCAGCCATCCCTGGAGAGAACCACCAGATAAGGACAACATCTTCTCATTGACTAAGAGAAGTCACGTGACATCGGAGGCATTTTGGGACTCATGGTTGTCCTAGGATTGTGTGATTTGCTTATAGTGTTTAATTAGTGTGCATTAAATTGTTGGGGTGCCCCAGTACACCCAACACTTTTTGCATTATTGTTTATATTTGATGATTGGTGTGATGGAATATATGCTTACATTTAAAGACAATCCACCTCTAAGTAATTATTAATAGCACCACTTGTGATGCTAGTTAGTAGGATTTGGGGGTAGTTGGGATGGTTTCCCTCAGAAGGGGTTAAAGCAATGACAAACAGAACTGAAGAGTATATCTTTGTTGAATTCATTGTCTTTCTCCCTTCTATAAAATTTGATGTTCTCTGCTTTTTCTGTCTTAATATAGTTACCTGCATTGTTAATCAGATGAAGACAAAAGCTCAGAGAGAGATTTAAAGCAGACTGATCATGTGCCTTTAACAGAAATAAGTCATTTCATTTCAAAGGGAAGTGAGTTATTGTTCATATCTTGAGATTTGGGAGACTTTAACATTTTCAGTGAAATGCTCAAGATTTTGGAATTTATCTCTTTTCTAGTCATAAATTTTCTATTTTATTTTTCTCTGTACATTTTTTTTTCAGCTGAAATGGAAAAGCTTATGCTCCTTCTGAAACATAAGCTCTGGAATCCAAACTGAGTTTGCAGGTGAAGTATACATATTCCCTTAATCATTACATGATGAGCAGTAATTCATAGCTTATTAACATTTCAAAGTGTACTGGTTAGCTTATGAAGTTACACTAAATTCAACTAAAAATGTATTGTAGAATTGCAATAAAGTGGACTCAGTAAATAAAGTGACTTCTGCTTCTGGTCAAGATGAAATAACATCTTAGACTTACCCTTTGATTTTGCCCCTACTGATTACTATCCAGGATATTGGATAGTAAAATTCAGACAAAATAAATGAAACAATAGAAATCAAGACACTGAACATCAAGCAATGTAGGACAATCAATGGTTCCTGAAAGATGGATAAAAAATTAGATGAATCCTCCCCTTGCCCTATCGTATGGCCTGCAGAAAGTTTGCAGGCCCTGGCACAGGTAAAGGGAAACTAGGTTTGCAGAACGGAGAAAATGGAGTCATAGGAGACGAGAAGTCAAAAAACAAGAAGAGTACTGTAGAGGAGAGTGCTTGCATATAGAAGAAAACAAGATATCTAAAGGGTCCCCCTCAAGCATTCAGTTCAATACTGAGTGTGTGCTAGTGATACTATCCAAACTTGGGGAAAGATCCATCTGAAAGAGAGAGAGAGAGAGAGAGAGAGAGAGAGAGAGAGAGAGAGAGAGAG